GTTTTTTTTGCCCTCCATTTTGTTTTCTCCTGTTAAAGTCTGACAAATTGTTGATTTAATTTTTAAGTTGAATTACTGAAGCCTGTGGGACAGGTTAAAAGAATTGGGCTCAGTAAGAATTTAGTTCCAAAAAAACAATAGTTAGAAACCTATTTTAATATTTTTTCATATTGGTACTCAACCATGAGTAATTAATTACTCATATTCATTCTTTTCCACCGGAATTTTTAATTTTTATATATTCCAGGTAAAAATAAACCTACCCATGACCCATTGCACCATTAGCTGGTTTTACTATAAAAGTTTTCTGCTTCCGTTTTTTCTTCAGTTCTTTCACATAGTTCTGGAATTGGGTATATTCAGCAGGGAAGATCCATGTTCGAGGAATAAAGGTATAATCCAGAGGCCGGGACTTGATCATTCTGTAAATTAGAGACAATATGAAAAATAATTTTTATTCAAACCAAACTTTTACAAATTTTTTCCTCTATGCTACTGATATTTTTGACAAAGATTTAAATTCCCTCCATTCTTTCATGTATTCATTTCTTTTGTTCACTCATTCAACAAATGTCCATCAAGTGCCTATCAAATGCTAGACACTATGATGCTGGGATACATCAGTGGAAAAAAATAGACAAAAATCTCTGCCTTAATATGTGTTAATTTACGTATGAGTACATGAAACATTTATTTGAGTATACACTGCATGCTAGACATTAGGGATATTAAGATAAATTAGTATGGTCTCTACCCCCAAGGAATTTACAGATAGCTATGAATTACAAAACAATGTGATAGGTACACTAAGGGCATGTAAGGCAAGGTAACATGTAGAAGGAGTCATTAACTCTGCCTTAGGGCTGGGGGTAGGAAGTAGGAAATTGTTTAAGGCCAAATGACATACGTATAACTTCTTTAAAAATGCTTTTGAGTCTTCTGAGTCCCCCATAGGAAGCAGTTTTTGATTGCCTTTTACACTACTGTTTTTTAGAGTTTATTTTTCTGAGAAAACCCTGTGAAAGCCTCTGAGTCAACAGGGGTTTTGTTTATATGAACTACCTATACATGTGGTTTTATAGATACAATGTATGTTTTGATATTTTTGTATTTGCTACAAATTAGGCTGCCTATTTGATATATAATTTAGGGACAATATCAGGTATAAAATGTTTACTATTGTTTAAAACCAATTGTTAAACATTTTGTATTTATCAATTTCAAATAAAAATGAAGAAATTATGAGAAAGATTTTATATATTATCTATTTTAAAAATCTGATTATTTCACAAGAAGACTTTTTCTAAATTAATGCAAGTGTTTTATAGATGAGCAGATAGTCTCCAAATGAGACTGGCAAAAATTAAAATGGAACCATAGTATAGAGTATGCACAGAAATGAGACCTAAATTCTAAGACTATGGTGTCTCAATCACTTGACTTTCACAACTGGAGGCTCATATAATTATCATATTTCAAGTGTTCTTTCAAGACAATCCTGTAACAAAATTATGTTACCACCATGAGAAGGAAAATGATTACCAATTGTAATCCAGATTAAGCCAACAAACTAAATAATCTCAGTACAAAGTAGACTAATATTGACTGTTTTGAAAATCATATACACCAAAAAAAGAAATCTGAAAGAAGCACAATAGCAGTGCTAATGTCCTTGTTTTTGTTTCCAACACTGTTAACTGTATTATATATTTAGTAATGACATGAAATTAAATCAACTTAAAGTTTGATTACAACAATATATTTTAAAACTAACCATTTGGTATTTATGAATGGTACTGTATTTTCACATATATGTTTGAAAAAAATCCAAGCACACATATATTGAAGTGAAATACCTTATTCCACTTAGGCAATCTATCACAAATCAGAAGAGACAGGAGATTTTACTCAGAAATTTGGGAATCTGAGATTGTTTCTGCTCATGGCTCTGTCCTGGATTTGATAATTTATATTAAACAAGTAATTTAGTTACCTCTATTTTTATATTACCAGATTATAACTTTTTATATAATAGAAAACTATTTTTTTCCTTAAGGAGAATTCCAAGAACTCTATAGAATGAGAAATTGCCCATTTGCATGGCCTGCTAATGGGTCTACCTTTTTCCCTCTTACCTCTCCTAACCAAATCTGGTCATATTACCACCATCCCCAATCTCTTCATCCCCAACTCCCCAATGGCACTTAAGATAAAGACCATAATTCTGAACATCACCCTTCAGCTAATCTCTCTCCTGTTCCCTATCCATCTTTCTGTGCTCCAGATGCAATTGGCATTATTTCAGTATCTTGACTATTCATGCTTTCTCCCACCACGTGACATCGGCTCATGCTATTCTTCCTGCCTGGATGGCTCTTACCTACCATCTTCACCAGTAAACTCCTACTCATCATAAATATTTTGGTTTCCACATCACTTTCTCAGGGCAACTCTCTCCCATACCTTCCTAACTAGGTCAGAGTTCCTTCACTAAGCATTGGGTTGGAACTATGTGTCTCTACTTCATAGCATTTATCATAGTTGCAATCAAGTGTTGTAAGAATCATAAGTCACTTTTCATCAACTCGTGCCCAGAGCCCAGTGCCATGCCTGGTATATAGTAGACAATAAATAAATGTTAAATGGCAAATGAAACACATGTCCAAAACTTCACAGAGGTAATTCCCTTTCCTCTGGCATCCATTCTTCTCCTTGGAATCCCTCTGTTAATAAATCGTACTACCTACATAACATCCTAAGCCAGAAACCTAGGAGTCATCTTAGAAACTTCTCCCCTCCCAACCTTCAAGTCTCACATCAAAGTAGTTTTCAAGTCTTATTGATTCTGTCTCCTTAACAGCCTTCAGAGTTAGTCTCTCTTCCCCATTCCCAATATCATTCTTTTGGTTTATTAGCTGCTCATTATTTCTTACCCAGATGTTGACAATCAACTCCTCACAGGGCTTTCTTTCTCTAGTCCTAGCTTCACTGAATGCATTATCCATTGTGCCATTACGATTTTCTAAAACATATCATTTCTCTGCTTAAACCCATTCAATAATTCCTCATTTCTCTCAGGATAAACAAAATGCTTGTTGAGTAAAGAAATGAATGATGAAATAAAATATAACATGGCCTGGCCTTTGCATATATATCTCCAGCATCGTCTCAGGTTGAGCCTCCCAATAGCCTATATAAACCATAGAAAATGCTTACAGGTCTTCAAAGACATCATGTTGATTCAAACTGCCATATATTTTCTCCCATTGTTGTCTCTGCCTACAATCTCCTTATCTTCTTCTCAAAGGGGGAACTCCTGTACACTTTCAATATCTATCTAGTATTTTGACTTTTCTAGAAAGCCTTCCATGACCTCCACAAAATGATCTCTTCCACCATCTTTGTCACCACCATACATTGACCCTACCTCAAATATGGCATCATCAAACTATATTGTGTGTATTAGTTTTTCTCCTTCACTAAAATGTGAGTTCTAGGCAGGGACTAGGTATTATTTATCTTGTTTACTTAAAAATTAGCAGTCTCTTAGGGCACAGAGTAGACATGCAAAACATATTTGTTGAATGAATAGATGCATAATTATTAGGTCATCAAATATCAAATATCTGATTTCCTTAAGTACTAAGTTTGACAGTTGATATCTCTGATATTTCACTTTGACACTTCTGGGATTTTTTTTTTCCCTATTGTGAAGGTACATCCTCAGTCTTTCAAATGCACATTTAGGTTTGTGATTATCTTTCACATTTTTTTAGAGCAATTTTTGTGAAACCATGGATAAGTCAAAAATTCGTGTTATTTTTGAATATGAGTTCCATCATGGAACCAATGCATTGCAGACAGCTCAAAATATCATCGAAGTGTTTGGAAAGGATGTAGTTAATGAACATAGAATACGTCAATGGTTTGGGAAGGTCCATTCTGGTGATTTTAATTTTGAAAGTGAGCCATGTGAGTGACCTGAGACCAAGGTGGATAATAATGATGAGCTGAAAGCTGTAGTGGAAGCAAATCCATCTCAACCTACGCATGAATTAGCAGCAAGGTTTGACATTACTATTTCAACAATACTGGACTATTTGAAACAAACTGGCAGGGTAAAGAAGCTAGACAGATGGATACCACATGAATTAAACAAGCATTAGAAGAGAAATCGTCTCAAAGCTTGCATTTCTTTGCCGTCATGACATAAAGGTGAACCATTTCCATACCATATTATTATATGTGATGAAAAACAGATTCTTTTTGACAATTGCAAGCATTCAGCACAATGGCTGGATATAGATGAAGTGCTAAAACACAGTCCAAAACCAAATATTCATCATAAAAAGCTAATGGTGTCTATTTGGTGGTCCAGTGCTGGTATTATCCACTACAGCTTCATGAAACCTGGTCAAACTATTACAGCAGATGTCTACTGCAACCAACTGGATGAAATGATGAGGATGCCGATGATTAAGCAACCAAGAGTGGTCAATTATAAAGACAGGCCAATCCTTTCGCAAGACCACATGTTGCAAAAAACAGTGCTGCTCAAAGCATAGAGGCTGGAGCTGGAAACTCTCTGTCATTCACTGTATTCACCAGACCTTGCAAAAACTGACTACCACTTCTTCCAGAATTTGGACCACTTCTTGCAAAGAAAAATATTCAATTCTCAACAAGTTGTGGAAAACGTCTTTTGCGATTTCATCGTCATTCACTCTCCACGCTTCTTCGCTGCTGGCATAAAGAAGCTACCCTTAAGATGGCAAACTGGGTTGACAGTTTAGGCGTGTACTTTGATTAATTGTACTGCCTCTTGTTTGAGATATAATAAACTAAACTTTTGATTCAAAATCGGAAATTTCATATTCAATGACCTAATGTAAACTTTCACATGGAAACATACTATAATAATATTTCCTTAATTATGCACACAAGTTTACTAAACTTTTTCTGTGAAGAGTCCTCTTTTTAAAAAATTCTCTCAGTTTATCACTAAACTCTCTTAAACTCAAAAAAGACCAAAAAAAAAAGAAAAATTAGCCAATAGAAATATAAACTGCATACAAATTCTGCAGTTTATTTGGTAAAACACTTGGGTACCTGTTAACAGTTTTCCTCTGAAAGCAGATTTTTACTTTAAATACTGGTCACAAAGATGAATATATGTGCACCTATATCCCTGGGTGAGGACATATACCTATGTCTATAGGTATATGTGTGCATGTGTCCACCTAGTACAGTGCCTGACACATACTGGATGCTCAATAACCACATACACACACACACAGAGCACATAATGCAACAAATTAGTTCCTGCAAGGTTTAACTGAAAATAAATAAGTATCTATTGAATGCCGCATACAGATAACCTCTTACATTGAAAAGAAAAACTTCCGTTACTAATGAGACAGTAAGTTGTAGCAAAAAGTCCTAAGATTTTGGAGACTGGGATTCTGGTCCAACTCTGCCATTAACTATTTGCCTGACTTTGTGCAAGATATTCATTTTTCTGACCCATATTTACCTCCTATGCAAAGTGAAAGACTAGAACCAGGGAACTTATAAGACCTAGCTCTAAAATTCTATCTCTTTCATCTAAATATCATTTCAAATCAATGTAATCTGTGAAAGATAGCACTATAATATTCATAGTGTAAACTTTGAATAGGTCTTCTCTATTAGAAGAAAATGAAGATTACTTGGTCATATTTCTTGCTAAGAAATCCTTCCTACAGATCTCCCCCATTCCTGGAAAATGGTTGATCCTCTGGAAAATAAAAAGGTAAATATTAATATTCTCATTGACTTAATGAATATATTCATTTATACTATAATACAGTTATATTCATCCTTTGAGTTTTATGTTTTAATAAACTCACAATTATTAATGTAAAAGATTTAAAATTAAATGACCTACAATGAATTTGTGGAATTAAAGAATCTACGATAATCAGAAAATAAAATTGCAAAAGTTTAAAGAAATCAAAAAAGGGTATTTACATAGATGGTAAAGTTACCATTTTCTGTGTTAAGTGATAATTCAATATACAAATTACTTTTGGTTTCTAGATTTACTATATTCATACACATATACACATAGGCATTGGTGAAAAAATGGACTTATAATATTTGTTCCTTAGGGTCAATTTTTTATTACCCTCTACTGATAAATAAAGAAGGTCTATATAAACTGTCAATTCTCTAAATTTCCTTATATTTGGCTTTTTAGTTTGATGTCTATTTTCTTCTGAATGTAAGTTTGTATTACGTCCTAAAAATAAAAGAATGAATAAAAGAATATAGCTGACATCACAGGGTATCTCCACATCCTAATCTCCCTATGCAATCTAGTACACATTTAAGTGTAACACAAAGCACCATTTTAGGAAGAAGTTTTTTCTATCAATTCTTCCTTAAAGATAGAAAGATGTTAAAAGTTACGTTTGAAAAGGATACAGCCTTCATACAAAGAGTTGATACAACTAGATAGCAACAAAAAATGGTATCCGGATGAGATTGAATTTCCTCATACCAATAATCGGCCAGGGTTAATTTCCCACCTGGTAATTTTGCAGCTCTGCAATTTTCTCCTGCTGGACAGCAGAATCATACCATATAAGGTTACTTGTTTCATCCTCATCTGGAGTTTTCATAAATCCCATTTCATCTATTACTAAACGAACTGCAAGTAAAAAGTGAAGTTAAACAAGAATTAAAATACTCCTGAAATATATTCATTGTGGAAACATTTATATATATATAAATTTTAGTTCACAGTTCTTTATTCGAAAATATCCATTAGTTGCAGCATAACCTTTTATTATATTTTGTTACAATAGTTTTATCTAGGGCCAAATTATACTCAGTAGTAACTGAGAACTGTTTTTAGGCAGCACCCAAAATCCTCAGTTTTGATCCTCTCAGATTTAACAGGTACACAAACTGCCAAAGGGTTTAATATTTATTTATGGCACAATGAAAACACACAAACAGCTGAGACAACACCTCTATTCAGGAAAATATACTTTTAGAGCTTTTATTTGTAACCTTGGGCTAGGTACAAAAAAGCAAAGGTAAAAATATCTCCTGGTCATCAGACCTATCCTATACTTTCTACCTCCCTAGTTGAAATTATTTTTAGCTCTTAAAACTAACTCTTCTATGTTTACTCAGGACATGAAATAATGAAGCAGAATTCACAGGAGAGATTTAGATGTGGCCTTCCTGTGCTCCCAACGCTCTAATACTACTGAAAGTGTTTATGCTCATAGGAAAGCTTCCTTTTTCGTGTAAACTATTTATGTATTCCTCTCTGATCTAGATCTCACCATTAAAATACTGACATTCTTCTTCCATCGAATATCAAGTTTAGAATAAAGATAAGGAAAATACTCAGGAAAATTTTTGGCTTCCAACAGAATCCTGAGTCTTAAAAGAATGGTGTTATCTATATAGCAGCACTTAAATGTTTTGTTTTTAAGTGTTTTCTTTTTACTAGTACCCTACATATGAGGAGAAATGGTATCAACTATCTGAATGATTTAGTTCAAGTATAAAACTGACAACCACACATCTGTTGGCCTCAAGCCCTAGAAGCTTTCAATTATTTTTTGGCTGAGGAGAAAGCAAGGACTTTTAATGAAATAGTGTCTGGAATACAGGCATGAAAGAAAAGGGTAGTGATCGGGGGTGGATGGGGTCAGGGAGAGGATTGTTGGGTTCAAGTTGTCGTTTTCATGAGAAGCTTGGTAAAACGTGGAGTTATACTGAAGTTGTAGGTGACAATGTACAAATGCAAGAGTTGGGGAAAGGGCCACCCCTCTCTCCTCTTTCCAGACCACCATGCAGCTTCAGCGTCCCGCGTACTCAGCAGCTGCTGTGCCACCTAGAGCTCAAATGAAGGGCAAGGGCAATAGGAACGCAGCCTAGGAAACCCTTTAACTGGCTCACAAGCAGAAAACAACAATAAATTCAGAACAGCAGGTTAGGAGCACCCCTGTTCCTGAGTATATGAGAAACATTGTCCGAGGCCTCTCTCATAAATAGCTGGAAGACTTTGATGAGATAATCGGAACTCCTAGCAGTTACAGGGGGAAGAAATGTAATGAACTATTTAAATTTGGGTATTGGCTATATACACAAACTTATAAGGCCAGGAACATTTGGAAAAGATTGATTTTTCTTTACACTCACAAAATCAAATTTGTAAGGTCAATCATATATAAACCTCTTTTATTATGAAATTCAAAGCTCGGAGAGCTGACAAAGTTAAACTTCAAAGAAAAACACAATGTCGAGTATTAAACTGTTCTTTTTAGCTAAGCTATTTAATTGCATTTTTGTTTTAACTGAAATTTTATAAATCGGTATCTTTTAAGGATGTCATCCTCCACTGCATAGAAAAGGAATTCCTCTAACATGTCAGAAATTTTATAGAAGGCATTTAAAAATCCATTACATAAAAGATACTTACCTCTCTGAATTTCTACATTGTTTTCAATACCAAACCAGTTTTTCCAACAATTATGAAAATCTTATGATTCCAAGGAAACCTACCAATTTCAAACTTTGTCCCAGCAACATTTGCTGTAATGGTTCCCTTCTTTTTCTTCTTTCTGACTTTCCTTTTCATTGTGCTTTGATAAGGTAATTGTGTATTCAGATCCAGGGGAGAGGGTCCCTGAATAACTTTTAAAGAAATGTAAAACAGCCAGATATCACTGAAATAACAAAAAATCCATACCACAGAACATGAATGCCCCCCACCCACAAGGTAAATTATAAATTCTGGTACTTTAAAGGTCCCCAATTAATTTTTAATACTTTTAAAAAATTAGCAGTAATGATCTATAACACATCCATATTTTGTGACATGATCTATCTGCTTACCTCCTTCTTGAGGCAGAGATGGCATTATTGCCTGTGCTGATTAGCAAGCAGTGTGTGCTGATGTACGAAGCTCTCAGGAAATCTGGAAATCCCACATTAGTCTAAGCAGGATATGGCCCCAAATCACTGAAAGTTCCTATCATATTATCTTGGTGGAATCCTCAGATTCCAGGACACTGAAGTTATGGGATTAGAAAGTACCTGCAGAGATCTTTAAACAAAGTCATTTAGAAAACAACTTTTATAGCATTTGTTTATATATGCCAACACTATTCTTTTTAAAAGTCAAGTAAAAGTGAAAGTTAATGTGTTCAAATCAACGAATATTTGTTAAGCAATTTATTAAACCTTATGCAAAATGCCAAGGATGGTTTCCTGTCCTGAAAGAATGCATAGTCTAGTGGAGGAAGTTTTATTAAGTCATGTATAATATTTACATGCAATAAATAACATGCCATACATGAACAATAACAATAACAATATTCACTACCATTTATTAAACACTTTACTATCCAAGGCATTTATATTATTCCACTCAATCTTTCAACAAACCTGTAAGGTAGACACTTTTATTCCCATCTTACAGATAAGTACATTGAGCTCAGAAAGGACAAATAATTTTTGTCTATCTTTACAAAGAAAGTAAGTTTCAAAGTAGAGATTAAAATAAAGACCCTTCTGGTGTCAGAGCCAGATTCCCTTAACCCAGGACTCATATAATCTTCACCCCAATGCCTGAAACATAGCAATAGCCTTGCTTTTAATATGAGACAGGAAATAAATGCCAAGGTAGGGGGTGCCTGTGGACACAATGCAGAAAATGATTCCTTTTTAAGGGGGTAGGGAGAACGACTTCCTAAAGTAGACCACATTTAAACTGTGGTCTACTTTAAAAATGAGAACGATATTGAAGGACAGAAAAAGGAAAGGGTCATTTCTGTGATGATCTTATTTGGGCACACAGAGGAATGTGCTAATGAATGAACTAATTTGATTTGGCTACATCTCAGCATGGCCTATAGTATATTTTGTTCATATTTTAATTTTATATATATGAACCTAGGCATTTATGCCCTAACTATACTATATTACCCAGTCTGTACTATCAATCTTCTAATTTCTTCTTCATATTATAAGAATCTTGGAGTTTTTGTGAAATGTCTCTAAACACAATAAAAAATTATAAAGCTTATTATGATAGACAAAGGTATGATATCAACACCTTTATCTGGAAATTATTAGAAGGTTTATCAGAAATTCAGAAATATTCAGAAATTCAGTTACATAAAATGCGACTCATATAAATTAAACCAAATATTCATTATTCATAATGTTTCATTATTTTTAAAACTTTAGAGCTTTATTCTCAGGTATGTTAGCAGAATACTTTCCTAGTATAATTCAATATCAAAACTAGGGAAATATCATTCTACTAAGTGAAGTATCCCAAGAATGGAAAAATAAGCACCGCATGTACTCACCATCAAATTGGTTTCACTGATCAACACCTAAGCGCACATATAGGAATAACGTTCATCGGGCATCAGGCAGATGGGAGTGGGGAGGAGGAGATGGGTATATACATATATAATGAGTGCGATGCACACTGTCTGGGGGATGAACACACTTGAAGCTCTGACTCAAGGTGGGGCGGCAAGGGCAATATACGTAACCTAAACATTTGTACCCCCGTAATATGCTAAAAAAAAAAACTAAGGAAATATTTATTACAGACCAGTTGAGGATACACACTGTGTTAAGCATTTAAAATTTTTATCTCATTAACAAACCTTGAACTTAGGTAACATTTCTCCCTATTTTTTCAGATATAGAAGTTAAGGCTAGTTAAATGAAATTAATCAAGGTAACACAGCTTAGAAAACCTAGACTTTAAACCTGATTTTGTCTGATTATCTATTCTATTCGTTGAGATCCACAATTTTCAGTCACCATACTAACACACTGTATAGACAAATGAGAAGTTTGCAACCCCTATTGCAGTAGTACTGCAAGGTATGGCAGTATTCTGGGAATTCACAATACTTCAAAACTAACAGTGAATTCACAGTGAAACATGTCTAAACTGATCTCAGCTCCGAATTCCAAACTGGAAACAGACTAGATTACTTCTCAGAATAAAAGAAAGAAGTAGCCTAAAATTTAGTTCAATTTCTTTCTGGAGGCTTTCTGATACTTCAGGGAGATAACTATTTAGTTTACAAGTTCTCATCCAACATCTTGTTACTGGAGTAAACAAAGGTCCCCTTTACAGTAACAGAGTACTTATTACATTAAAAGTAGGTGACAAAGTCAACAAGACTTTGAAAACAATCTTTGCCTAACTATTCTAGGCTCCAAAAACAAATTTGTTAATTTCCAACTTAAATAATGAGCCAAACAACTTTGATTTGTATAGAGTTCAAAACAAGAACTTTTATCCCTTACCCCAGCCACACAGGAATTTAAAGTTCGTAAAATTATTCTATCCATATATACGTTTTACTTAATTCCATTTATGGTTTGGTAAAACCACTTTAACAAACTCAGGGACTTCATTCTACCATGGCAATTCTAATTATTTCACTTTATTCTAAGCAAGGGATTTGAGATGACAGATTTATCACACCATTCAGTTGAGCCACAGTTACCTACTTTCCAAAAGCAAGAAAGCATGTTTTAGTTACCTCCCGAATACTTTAAGCCAATGGTTTCTCGACCTTGGCTGCAAAGTAGAATCACCTGAGAAGCTTTTGAAAATCCTGGTTTCCAGACCACACCCCAGAGCCAGGTGGGGCCCAACTATCAGCAATGAAGTTATCCAAGTGATTGCAGTATAGCCAAGATTGAGAAGCTCTGCTGTAAGCACATGACATTGAACTAAACTAATAATTAATTACAACATATACATATAAAATTGTAAGAAAAAAGTAAAACAAGAAAACTCCTATAAAAAAAAAAAAAACAGGCCAAGTAAGTAAAAATCATCTATAAAAATCCTGTCTGGTTTGACTAAAAAACAGAAAAAGAATTAGAAGATCAGCAGAAACTGATGATTTCTAAGAAAAAGAATTTATTTTCAAAAGGAATTAATTTTCCAAAATTTCAAACAAATGGTATTCTTGAACATAGAACTTCCAAGTGCCAGTAGATACACAAGATTGGGACAAAACCAAAATAATTCCAATACATTTGTGCTAGAGTACCTTTCTTCTCAGTTCTGCCTGTTGAGCTTCTGCCAATCACTTAAAATTCAGATAAACTGCCACATTTTCCTTAAAGCTTCCTCTGATTATATCCAAAGAAATTCATTTCTCCCTCTTCTGTTCTATCACAGAGACCTTTATTTGTACCCCTATCATAACCACCTGCCAAGAAGATAAACTTCATGAAGAAGGTGGTTTTCTTCTATCTTGTTCACGCTCCATTCCCAGAACCCAGAATAGAGCCTGACACCATGTTCAGTAAGTACTTGTTAATGTGTACTATGGTTTGAATGTTTTGTGCCCCCTCCAAAATTCACGTTGAAACTTAATCCCCAATGCAATAGTACTAAGAAGCGGGGCCTTTAGGAGGTGGTGAGGAGCCAGCCCATGAGGGCTCCTCGCTCATGAGTGGGATTAAGGCCTTTATGATAGACACTTCACATAGCCTTCAGCCCTTTTTGCCTTCCCATCCCTTCTACCATGTGAGAACACAGCATTCATCCCCTCCAGAGGATGCAGCAACAAAGTGCCACCTTGGAAGCAGAAAGAGTAGCCTTCACCAACATGAACCTGCCAGCACCTTGATCTTGGTCTTCTCAGCCTTCAGAAATGTGAGAAATAATTCTCTATTATTTGTAAATTACCCAATTTGTGGTATTTTATTACAGCAGTATATATGGGCTATGACAATGAGTTAATAAATCAATGAATTAATAACAGCTAGGAGAAAGGAGAGTTATCATAGAACTCTGAGAAGCAAATACATGTCATTTAAAATATATTACTTTCACATTTTTAAGTGAAAAAAGCAAAGTACATAAAAGTTTACGTATTATATTGCCACTTGGGTAAACTAATAAAAGAATATGTGGAATATATGCACAGAGCGGTGCTGGCGTGCTGTGGCTGGGCACAGCTAAGGGAGACCTACTTGTACGTATACCAGGATGCTGTGTATGTATTACCTATTCAATAGAATAAAACATATCTGATAAAAGTTTGTGTCAACATTATCATGTTGACAACTAAAACTATCAAATTTTGTTTTCCATTTATAGGAAAATACTTTCATGTCATTTAGATGAAAGTATAATATGGTACAAAGAGCACTGAACAAGGAGTCAAGTTGAATTCCTGTCCTTCACTTTGCCACTTAGCAGGTACAAATTCTTAGCATGCAAAAGGAAGGAATTGATTCTTTCTAGCCCTAAAGTCTAAAATGTCAACCAATGAAGATAACATTCCTGATTTTTTGATGACAACAAGATGAAGACAAAACATCTTTTACATAAAAGAAGGAAACATGAAGGAAACTCAGACCTTCCCCAACAACCCCCAAGTATCCACATCTCAGTAAATATATGAGCTCTTACTACATATTTACAAATTTTACTTGAACCATAGATGATTAAAATAATCTAACAAAAGGTCATTAGGAACCAAAAATAGCACTAAATTGAAAATACGTAAAATAATATTAAATAAAAACATAATAAGAGCTGTTTTATGGTGAGGAGGGGAAGAAGAGAACCAATACAAACCAGTACCTACTGTGTACTAAGAACTTTCATATAACTTTGTGTTTACTTAGTCCACCCAACAAATGCCCAATACATTTTATTCCAATTTTATAAAAGAGAAAATTTAGGCTCCAGGGTTAAAACACTTGCCCAAAGTCACACCTCTAATAGGTATCAATGAAGTGGTTTGTCTCTAAAGCCCATACTCTTTCCCACTTTTTGTGCTATCTGCAAAATTCAGTCTTTAAATATGACATATTGAAATTTTCACAAAGGCGCTTGATTTTGTTTGACTGGATCTA